CCACATGAATTAAAAGGCCAAAATCATGTAAGAAAACATGCCCCAAACCATAGCACTGACCTCACCAGCTTGAAGGGTTGCACTCATGTCTGTGGGGTGCATGCTTTCATGTTTCCACCAAATTCTCATTCTGCCATCTGCATCATGCAACTGGAAACGTGATTCATCGGACCACATGTCTTTTTTCCAATGCTCGACTGTCCAATCCTTGTGTTCCTGTGCGAATTGGAGACGTTTTATCTTGGTAACTGCAGACAGCAAAGGTGTTCGAACAGGCCTTCGGCTTCCATATCCCATACGATGCAGTGTACGGCTAATTTGCCTACAAACGTCAGGTGGTCATAATAATCTGGCCACTCAGTGTATTTATGAAGTGCTTCCTTGCTGCCGGGCACTGTGTGGTGCTGAGGAGTCAGCTGTGTGCAGAACAGATGAACTCTGCTCTCAGTAGAGCTGCCATGCCCGTGGGGAAAACAGGTACCGACCAGACAAACAGATACATCATAAATAAGTGGGGACACACAGACGGAAAAGGGAAAAAAATGCCCTTCATGCAAGGGACAGAGCTTTAGAGTCAGACAGACCCAAATTCAAATCCCAGACCTACCTTGGCTGCCCGTATAACTCTTGGGAAAGTGATTCTATCTCCCTGACACTCTTCTATGTTCAATGTGATCCATTGATCATTCATCCACCCATTGAACAAATGTTTACAGAGCTCTGTCTTGAGTCAAGCATTCTTTCGAGTGCTGGGGAAGCAGCAATGAATAAGACAGACAAAAATCCTTGCTCTTGGGAGCTTAGACTCTAGAGGAGAGAAAGAGACAATGCATATACACATATTGGGTGATGAAGAAAGAGAAAGGGGCCTGGTTGGCGTGGCTCAGTGGTTGAGCGTCGACCTATGAGGCAGGAGGTCACGGTTTGGTTCCTGTGTGGGGCTTGCAGCGGGCAGCCAATCAGTGATTCTCTCTCATCATTGATGTTTCTACCTCTCTCTCCCTCTCTGAAATCAAGCAATACATATAAAGATAAAAAAGGGTAAAGAATGATGAGAAGAGAGCTTTTTGTATAGGGCAGTCAGGGTGACTGAAGAGGTGACACTTAACCTGAGGCCTGCTGGACTTGGGGGAATTGAAGACAATGCCAGGCAGAGGAGAAAGGAAGGCAAAGGCCCTGAGGCAGGCCCTGGCATGGCTGCTGAGGGTTAGAGACCAGAGACAAGGCGTGTGAAGCACCTGGCACAGCACCTGTGTAGGCAGCAGATTACTGTGTCCCTTTCATGAAAAATGGCCACTGAGTCATTTTCCACCATCATCAACATTCTTGAGGGCTCTGTGGGTTGGTGACTTTGTCATTCACTTTTCTCCTCTTGTTTTCTGAGTGGAAACGAGCAAACCAACCAGCCCACCTGCCAGCCCACCTCTATCTCCAGGCCAAGCCGGCAGGAACGTGTGACATGTGGTAGTGGCACTAAGGGGAGGAGGATGCGTAATGAATAATGGTCATTAAATAATAATGGCAGCATCTTGAATTTCTTTCCTCTCCAAAGCCTCACAAATTAGACGCCCTGGAAATGCTGTGCCCGCCGCCAGGATGCACCTCCATCTGGGGTGGAAGGCAACATCTGCTAAACAGCTGCATCTTGTTTAAGAGCTGGCACTTAATTAAATTACCCAGTTCTGGTTGGGGCAAGGGAAGCTGAGCAGGAGGGGCAGACCCAGTCCCAAGCACATACTCCGCCTCTCCCCAAGTTGACCCTCACTCCTCCCCCATAGTGGCCCTCCACACGCCTGTTCATCCCACCGACCTGGACATCTTCACATTTCCAGGACACGCAGGCCATGCTCACTCCTGCTCACCCATGGCCTTTACTCAAGCTGCGTCCCTGCCAGGAACCCACTCCTCCTGCCTGACCAGCTCCTCCATGTCTCAAAGGCCCAATTCAAACATCAATGTCTCTTCCATGAGGCCTTTTTCCAACTTCCCAGTGACCTCCTCCCTTGAGCTCACAAAGTACTTTGTGCGTTCCTTGACTGGAGGATTCATGATTACATTGCAGTGTCGTGAACCCTGCCATTTCGTGAGCTCCTTCATGGGAACCATATTTAATTCACCCCTGTCATCCCAGCATTGTGCCAGACTCCCATAGATAACAAATGTTTGGTTAATGGATGGAGGAATGGATGGGTGGGTGGATGGATGAGGGATGGAAAGAAAGGAGGGAAGAAAGAAGGAACAGATAAACAGATGGATCCACTGCCACCATCCAAATCCAAGCCACCATCATTTCTCACTGGGACAAACACCACAGTCACTTACTGCCGTGTATCTTTTATTCTTGCCCTCAATAGTCCATTCTATTTAGAGCGCCCAGGAATCTTTTAAATGTGGAATTGCATTATGTCACTCCTCTATTTAAAACCTTCCCGTAGCTTCCACATCCCTAACCCTAGTTGACAAATCCCTATTGGATCCAGCCCCTTCCTGCCTTTCTGATCTTAGCTCCTTGTTTTCCTAGGATCCAACTGCTTTGGGAACCAGCCAAGCTCTCTCTCATCTCAGGGCCTTTGAATCTGCTGTTCTGTCGCCACGACTCAGTTCTCTCAGTGTTTGTGAACCTGGAATCCTCTTCGTCTTCAGGTCCATCTCTCATGTGACCTCCTCAGCGATCTCATGTGACCTCAGCGAGGCCTTTCTTTACCTTCCTCGTTAAAATATCTACCGTCTTGATCCCCCAAGGCACAGGGGGCTCGGTTCAGACAACCAGGGTTTTGGCTGTTGAATTCCAAGTGGTTCCCCACAGCATCCCATCAGCTTCATCTGGGTGGTGGTAGGGACCTCCCTCCAGGGTAGCCACAAGCCACCCTTCCCCCAAGGCTCACTCCCCCTCTCCATCAATTGAAGATCCTTCATGAATGGGCTTGTTTGGAACTGCTGCAATTAAACCATCAGAGCAACATTGGACCATTTGTTTACTATGGCACTTAGAGCGGGAATGGCTTGTTGTTTTGATGGTTTCTATTTTCAGCTCTGTTTCCTAGGGGCAGCGGGAAGGGGGTAGGAGATGAATCCTGGTCTATTCAAAAAGATGCTTCAGTGAATCCTAGAATTTCTAGATTCATGGTTGTGGAATGTGAGGGCAGGAAAAATCTGTAATGTTAGTTACAGGTTCCTGGATTCATGGGATTCTAGAATCTTATGCAACAGAAAATAGAATCTTAGTTTCACACCAGGTTAGACTCAAAGTCTTAGGGAGATGGAATCCGGGGATTATCTCACTTGGTTGGGTTCTCTCCTCCTTCGCAGAAGACCTTCTCTGGTGACCTTCTCTGCACTGTGCCCCCCACCTCACCCACACTCTGCCGCTCACTGCTGTTTTACTCTGGCTCGCGTTTCTCAGAGCCCCGATCACCACCTGACATCTGATGCATTTCTCTGCTTACTTGCTGATTGCCTGCCTCTCCCACACATTGGATTGAGGTCAGGAACTCTTGTTTTGCTCACTGTTTAGAAAGTATTTAGAACAATGCCTGAGTGAGGACTAAAAAAAGGGAAGAAAGAAAGAAATCATCCATGCATCCCACAATATTTGAATGTCCCCTTGGAGATGAACCTGTCCAGGATGGGAGGTGGGTCGCATTCTGCAACCCTAATCCAATTGCAGTAAACACCAGAGCATTGTGCTGAAAGGGTTCTCAAGGCGCATCCAAGCTCCCTGCGGGAGGGTGATCAATGAGCAGGGTCTGGCACCGGCCCAGCATCTCTGCTCTGGCCTCTCATCTTACACTTAACACACCCGAGGTCCAGCAGGGGATGGGAGGGCACCAGGGTCAGCCAGCGTGGGGTCGTGGGGTGGCTGCAGCCAGATGAGACCCCACTCCCCCACCCCCCAGCCTCACCTCCCAGTGCTGCTGCCTGAGCCGCTCTCAGGCAGGGGTTTAGTATCCTCCCCTGCCCCCCACCGCCCTCCAGCTGTCCCTTCTCCCAGCGGTCCCGGGACTATGGGGTGCTGGATTCCCTGCCCTGAACCTCGGCCTGGGAACCCAGTTCTGGAACACTGCCTGCATGCACAAGCTGGTTATTTTTAAAAATCCAAAAAGAAAAGGAGGAAAGAGAAAACTCACTGCTTCGGTCTCTGCACCAGCCCCAGCTGGGAGAATAGAGACTTGAAAGGAACAAAGGGTTTCCTCAAACAGGCAGATCAAGGCTTGGCTCATGTGGTAACCGGTAACCAACTACAGCGCTTTTGACAGATCCTTTAGAAGGCGACAGGCCTCTGTTCCCGGTGCAGGTTTCTTGTGGGGAGTGGGGGCCGGGAGGTCAGACAGGCAAACAGACGCCCTGGGGGACGTAAGGTCACACAGGGAGCCCCCGGCCAGTGCTCCTCAGGTCACTTTCAAGGAGTCAGAGGCCAGTTGTGTGGTTACGTGCACCCAGTCCCTCCCCCAGCCCCCCTCCCCCTCTTACACCCACCACTGCTGCTTGGGAAAGCCTTCTCAGGAATCTTCCAGACACAAAATCTTCTGTTCCCCTAATCCTTCCTCCTGTAGATGTCCCCTACTGCGATGCCTGTGGGTAGAGTTTTTACCTCCAGGTCTTCAGGGTCAGCCCGGGTCAGTTCTGAGATCACAGGACTGGAGTTGAGGGCGGGCTCCAGGATGGACGACATCAACCGATTCGATTCGTGTGAGGTGGAGTGCATACTCTCACTTGTGGAAGATCCTTGAGGGGCTGTGCCACGCCCCGCACAGGTGATGCCTCCTGCAGGGGACACAACCCTATGACGTAGGTATCATTATCCCCATTTTCCAGATGGGAAAACCCGAGGCTCCAAAGACCCCCACCTAGGTCGGCTGCTTACCGTCATAGACTTTGAGTAGTAGGGTCTCAAGGCCCTGCAGAGCTTGGAACCTGATACCCTTT